CGTGTTAAAACATACGAAAGGACTCTAACCGCCTCCCGGTTAGCTCAATGGATAGAGCGCTGGACTGTAGTGCGGGAGGTCGAGGGTTCGAGCCCCGGCCGGACCAACACTCAAGGTCTTAAAATAATTGAGAAGAATTTGCTACCTTTCTATAACATCAAGAAATGGTTAGATATTCTAGTCTTCTCGGATAGGGACGAATAAATGGAGGTCCCGTCTCCTGCAGGGTTGGGGCAGGAGACGTTAATTTCCCACACACGAGATTACTGTGTGATGGATGTCCTCCCCTGGGGTGGGATGGGTGGGTTAGGACAGCAGGTCCACATCAGCTATTACAGCTGCCAATTAATCAACCTGCTTAAACAAATAAATGAACTTCAACTTCAACCGTTCGGTTCTCGACATTTGTAATAGTCCATATAGAGAAAGCGTTTCCAACAATCTCGGTGCCGCTAACTCTCCACCTGGGGACATAGACAAGTGAATTGTCAGTAGGGTCCCCTAGCTGTAAAACTTATTCACGTAAAAAGTGTTTGGCCTTTTCACGCAGCACGTATAATATCCAAAATTATTTCACGTTCAGGTGAAATTAGAAAAACCAAATTAACGGATTAATATTTTACTTTTTCTAGTCTTGACCAGTCCTACGAGACAAAAGAGGATATATATAATGTCTTATCTCATTTGTATAAGAATTATTTGCAGTAGTTGATCTTGGGGAGGAGCCCGAGGACCTGTTCCCTGTCCTTTAATTTAGATAAAAAAATCGCAGAGGGAAGAAAAGCCAGCAGGCCACCGGCACAAAAAAAAACGCCCCCTTCCCCCTCCCCTTTGCTCAAGGTCTGAGATCTGCCTCTGATTTGCGGTCTGTTTGATGACGTCTTTTATGAATCCACATGAAGTCCATGTACAGTCAAAACCCTGGTCAAAACCTAACAAGACCGTTTTAGAACAATGCGCATATTTTAAAAACAACAAAATTGCTGGAAATTCATCAGATAACACGAAATTGTTCACGAATCAGCTCTTCATCCACGAGTCACATTTGAATAAAGAAAAAAACTCGTTCACGTGGATATGAAAACATCGTATCATTTTTAATCACGATTCACGAATAAAAAAACATCAAATCACGATTCACGAGAAAAAAAAAATCACCTAATCACGCTTCATGTAAAAAGTGTTTGGCTATCACGGAAGCCTACAACCTATGACAATCCAATATTCTATTCATTTATTTTTACAGTTAACGCAATGCAAATTGAAAATTTACTCGAACACTCGTTCATCATAATTGCATATTCAACAAAAGTCATTTGCACAGGTTATACATGTCTACAACGTAACATCAAGACTATTGACAGTGGAATAAGTTGTGATTCCAAATTTGGTCGAAGATTTTAATACAACTTCCTTTCAGCGAGAGCTTACGGAAGCGAATCCTTAATCTTTAAAATCAAGTAGAAAAAGTACGCTCTCTAAAAACTGTAGAGATCTCACTCCTACCAGAACGTCCAGACACAGTATTCGCAGCGCCTCCAGCGACCGTCTTGGTTCCTGTTTCATTTCTTTAAAACGTCTACTCCGGTAAAAGTCGAAGTAACCCCTGTGATCTGTGTACCAAAACAGTAGATCGACCCTTGTTCTTGCTGTATTGGCCGTGCGGGTTGCACAATGGCATGTTGTGCGAGGTTGGTTTGAGCGATGTCCGGTTCATTACTGTCACGGTTTGCAGCATCCAGTTGCTTCATCATCCCTGGTTTATTCACCAGTTTCCTCACATAATTCGCACTGACAGGCACAGACGACATCGTTTTATTCAGTAGAGGCAAGAAAGGTATATGATCAAAACTGTCAAAGGGTTTCGATTGCGTTACAGCTTTGATCTTCGATTTTCAAACTGCGGTAACTGGGTGCACTGATGTAATTTTTAAACCTCCCCAACACGTGGTATCTCATACAAGAGATATTTTTTGAGTACGTGATCAAGAATTGGGAAATAACCTCGACGTAATTGATCCTCATCGTAATTGATCGAAATCGATTTGGAATTCCGCTACATTTTTACAAGTGACGTTTTATATACCATTTTACACGTTTTTACAATTCTTGTATTCGTTTTATAGTAGTTTTTAGTGCGTCGAACGTGACTACGAAACGTTATGTCTAGCAAACTGACTCAACCCTCTTCACTAGTTTAAAAGGAAATTTATGGCAGCAATGAGGAAGAATTACTGGTCAAATCTGGGAGTTAAATGGTCTGCCTCATTTAGCTCAGGGCTTGTTCGCTGATACTAACAGCAACAATACAGTGTCTTAAATTCATTCTGCCCCCCAATACCTATAGTCTCGTTGGCAGCTGAGCTTTGGGATATCAAGCAATTCATTCTACAGGTAGATGACTGCACCCAACTAAACAATACTCCTTTCATGTTTAAGTAAAATAACAACAATTATTATATTACTGGCAGTGTATGTGGGTAATACAAAGCAGATCTCTAGTTCTGATTGGCTACCTCAGTTGGCAAGATAGGACCATTTTGCCCAAGAACTTACAAAAAAATTCATAATTTTTGGACAGTGTTAAAGATGGAGTTGCTATAAGCAATAGAACACAATCAAAATAAGCATAAACGACTCTTGTCAGTTTATTGTCCTAAAAAAACATTTGGCTTCCTTTCATGTCTCTCAAAAATAAACAGGTCATTCTTGATTCTCAATAAAGCAAAATATTTTTGCCATGTAATATATCTTTGAATTGACCAAGCTTGTTCAGTCAAGATGGCTGGATATCAACCTGGTCCTTTTTGATCATTTTTTATGAACCGAGACAAAAAAAAAAACAAACAAAACTGCAAAAATAAAAAACACTCAGCCAATGTCCAGCCATCTCGACCTGACAGTTGGTTAACAATGCACATGTCTTAAACACCCCAAAAAAATTTGAGGTGGAAATGATGTTTACAATTAGCAAGCATCTACAAAAATAAAAAATCATGCATCACTAGCTTTTCAAAGGTCCCCAGTATGGATACAGATCTTGATACAAATAAAATGGAAAAATTCAATCAGCTTGAAGGTCTAGATTTGTCAGAGACTATATTACAACTCCTCTATTTACCAACTGAAACAAAAGTTCAAATAAGACATATGATTACACAAATATTAAATAGATCATTTTATAAATTAATTTTGTAACCACGGTGAAGAGAAATATAAATTACTTCCTCACTTTAAAAATCCTAGTGTTTAAATAACATCTTATATCTTATTTAAATGATGGTCTTAATCTGAAGGCAGGCCAAATCCCCCAATCCTATAACAATAATAACAGTGACATTTATTATTTGCATTGCACCTTTTCTATAAAATATTCAAAAGCGCAATCCTTTTCAACGCTGTAAATGTTTGTGTTAAAAAAATGTTTCTAACTGAATCTTTACAATTGCAGCCATTGTGTCAGAGTATCATGAAAATTTTGTGGTTGTTTTATTAAGCAGATTAGTAGATTTGTGTGTTTTGCAAGAAAAAAAATTTTTGTAGTGCAAGACGACCGAAATTTTCTCTGCAAACCATACCATTTTTAGCAAAGTTTCTGCTTGAAAGGTGCAAGTGATTTGGAGTAGCTGCATGCAGAAATATTAAGTCTGGAGCATGTAACAAAATGAGTTGTGTTTCTGCTCTCTCACACTCTTGTTCCTTCAGAAGATCACACAGGCAAGAACCTACCTCACATCCAGCAGAATATCTAGAAGTTTCCACAAAGAGTTTCACTCATCCACTGAAAGTCTTGCACTGATCCAATATGTAAACAAATAACACTTAACACTGTAATTACATGCATTATTTGATGACTGTTACCAATGATATCACATCTTCCTGGAAACCACCTCTCAGGTATCCTAGCAACATTGATTACTCCACCAATGAAAGCTAATAAATCCATTGACAGGTGATATGGCAGAGCGCTGATGCTGCTTTTGGTAACATTAAAGTAATAAAATGATATACGAACAGCAATAAAGAAGTATCTCGTTACACCTAACACGGCAAAGGGTTTGAAACGTTCTTTAGCACTGTTAGCCATCAGAATAAAGTACAGACACCTCAAGGATATCACCAAATATACTGCAAGAGACAAAGACCGCCAAAATGGAAGGCAGTAAAATGTTGCGCGGATACCACACAAAGCGCCAAAGGCATTGATTACCCAGATACCACAGACGTCCAAAGTGAGTAGATGGTTGTATGAATCCTGTCCACTTTGATGACACATAAATAAATGATAAATAGGGCTCGCCAAGAATGGGGCAAAGCAAGAGAAATAATGAAGAAAAAACCACAGCGGGTCAGCCAGACTTGCCGCACTTGCTGTTAGGGGAATCAACACCACAAAAAGTGCACCAGGAATGCCTTAAATAAGTAGGAAAATATGTTTTAGTTAACTCTCACAAGTGATTAATGTGTTACCTCTCCCTACAATTTCCATATGTCATTTAAGAAAACAGAAAACAAGAATACATAAAATTAACAGGTAGAAGTTGTTTTCTTGATCCATTAACACATTCTTGTAACTTAAATTATAAGGAAATGTGTCGCGGCTAAGGGGGAGAATTCACTATCAGATCAGGACAGTTCAAAGCTGAAATGTTCTTGACCTCACTTTGGGACAACACCATGCAAACAGAAAAAGAATTTGTTGTTTAGTGCTCATCAAAAATTAATGTTTTGAAGAGTGAAAGATTCTCAAAAATGGGGTCATCCTCGGTGTAAAAACCTGAGGAAGTTTTCTTTGTTTCATGAGGTATTGCTTTGCTGTACGCTATATTGTTTATAAAGTTTTGTTGTCTTTGTTTTACGTCACTCGTGAGCTTCACAGGTTTTTACACTGAGGATGAGCCCAAAAATGAAACCCTTAGTTACAGCTGAAAAAGAAAGGAAAAAGAAAGAAAGCATGTAGTACTTCATTTTATTTAACTTCAATTTGTATATGTGAAAATCTGATTTGCCGACCGAAAAACAATTATCAAATTTGTGTTAAATAAGTTCTAGTCAGTAAAATTATTCATAATTGGCCTGGATGTGCAAATATGTCAGTAACTTGAAGGACATCTGACATCTCCCTCTATTGTTTCCGGAGTTTGAGCCTGTCTGTACGCGCCTGTTGAGAAACATCTAACTATTTTCTTACTTACCATGCGAATAAATATTAAATGTTTCGTTGTGGACGTAGAACAAGCTCTCTATACATTGGCGCGTTGACAACTTGCATCGGTAACTTCCCAGAATATATTTGTTAAATTGCAGCCAAGGTGGGCAAGATTCTAGTTTAAATAAAATCGCCGCTTTAGATATCTTCTTCTCTATGATACGACTATCTCTATGATGATTTATAAAGCCGTTTTCCGCCATTTTAAGGGTTGTTGTTACATTCCGCCCTACCGGCTTTATCACGTAATGCGTCACGCTCACTTAAAATGATCACTCAGTACAAGGCTCACTCGGCCACTTTTGTACCATAGAGTCCCATAGAGTGATGGGTAAAATCAAACATGGCGGACGAACTTGATGTCGATGACCTGAAAGCTTGGATTTACGAAAAAGCCAAATTGCAGTGCAGTCCCATGGTGAAAGGTATACAGTCTAGTATTTACTTATAAATGGTGTTAAAGGGCTATTTCCCTCCGGGAAATTTGCGTTAGGGAAGAATTGCAATTAATCAATAGCTAGTTGCAACGACCATGTAAAAATTATGTACCTGCAATTAATGATCAATATTTGCCGACATTGTACTTTTTTCTCTGAAAAATCCGTACATCTGTCTCACCAGGTATGCAGAAAGGGAAGTGCCAGCATGGATAAATTTTCATTTAATCAGTAGGTAGGGTGGGAATGGAGAGATGAGGAAGTAACAGTACTCATAGTCACTTGAATACCAGTGTAACCTCTGGGGGTGGTGTGGGTATTTAGTTGGTGTGGAAGAGTTCGTAGAATATATTTGGCTGAAGGTTTATTTTCTGTCACAACATACATCTTCAATAATCCCAGCTGCCTCT